GAACCAGAAGTAATGGCCACAAACTCCTGGAAGACCATTTCAGGCTCAACATTAGGAGAAACTTCTTCATAGCTAGGGTGTCTGGACTATGAAATAAGCTCCCTCCAGAGGTGGTGCAATTGCCTACCCTGGAAATCTTCAAGAGGAGACTGGATAGCCCCCCTCACAGGGGCCACAGCCCCCAACAGGGGCCGCAGCTCCCCCCACAGGGACCACAGCCCTCCAACTGGACCCACAGGCCCCCCACAGGGGCTACAGTCCCCCCCCCTCACATGGCCCACAGTTCACTTGCAGCAGCAGTGGCTGTCAGGGTGCTCAGGGCCCTCCTGGAATCCCTCCCATGGTATAGGGCAGCTCTGCTTGACCCTGGCTGCCTGGCACCCAGCACTGCCTGTACCACATTGTATGGTCCCAGCCCAGCTCAGCACAAGGCCATGCACCTTTGGGCAGCTCTGCGCTGCTTGGGCTGTCACCTGGGGCCCTGTGCCACTCGTTGGGGACCACAAGTTGCACCAGGGTGGGCCCTGCGTGTGGCACGGGACCCAGTGAAAGCCATGGTGGCCCAGAGCTGTCCAAAGGTGCACAGCCCTGTGCCGAGCCAGGGGCCAGGCCCACGTGATTTGGCACAGGCAGTGCCGAGTGCCAGGCAGCTGGGGCTGATTCATGCTGCCCCATGCCATGGGAGGACTTTGCCAGGAGGGCCCCGAGTTCCCCCATGGCTGCTGCTGCTGTAGGGGGTGGGAGCTGTGGGCCATGCAGGGGGCAGGCAGGGGACCCACCCCTCCCAAGCAGCCCCCTGCCTGCATCCACAGTCCTCTGCACTCCCACAGCCCCCCTGCTCCAGTTCCCCCCACCCCCAGTCCTTTACTCTACCTCTGACAGAGCCGGGATCCATGTAGCCGGCACTGGTCCAGGCTGCCCCACACGTATAGGCAGTGTGCATCAGCACTGGGGCATGAGGCAGTCATAGAGACACTTTGACCAGCTACCAGAGTGTCTCTTTGGAGGACCCAAGCTTCTGGTTTCCTCAGGGCACAGTCCTGCCCCACTTTTTTCTGGGTTTTGGGTTTTTTTTGATACTCAGATATCCAGGTATCAAATTTTGAGCTCGCACTGCAAATATGCAGTGCAGGAAACTGTTTTTTGTTCCCAGTGTGCCTCTTTCCATGTCTTGAACTGGTTTGAGATGTGGAAAGAGGAAGGTGTGGGCTCATTTGGATGCACCCGGGGAGTTCAAACCTAGGTCTTGAGTTTTTTCCCAACACAGTACTCTAAGCACAGTGCAACAGGAAGCTGCCCCCCTGGGCAGCCATAAGGCAGTATATTGGGAGATATATGGGACCAGGAGGAAGACAAAAAGCCAGAAGGTATATGGCCCAGTGAGGTGGCTGCCACATTTTCAAGGAGAGAACCTGGGTTCTAGCCTGGAACCTTGTTCTCAATGAGGCAGAGGCTTCTGCACTGCCCTCCATCCATTTTTTCTCAGTGTTTATTAAATGCAAGGGGCAGCAGCTCAGCTTGTAAAGAAGTACTAGAGTATGCCTTGGATACTTCATGATCTGTAGTGTGGGGACTAGGAAATCAGAGTTGTATGGTCAAATTCCTTTTCAGAGAAGGGGCTCTACAACCCAGGTCTACAGTTTTCCAGCTGAGTGCCCTAACCACTAGTTTTTTAGGCTGAAAAATGAACGGGCCTCTTACTCAATGTGAGTCTCATTAGTCATTTTCAGGCTGCAGATGCCACTATGCATCTACAAGGTGCGTGGTCATTTAAACTTCAATGGGCCCAACCAGTTCATAGCCAATTGCCAATGCTCAGTCTGTACATCTGATCTATGCAGGAAACAGAATTGCTGCCTGTCCAAAAGTCCCAGAAATGTCACTTATTTAACTAAAATGCTGATGCTTAGGGGCACTTTTACATGTGCTCCAGGAGCAGGGGTGGTGCTTTGAATAGAGTGGCTCCAAGAGCCACAGTGTCTTGTGTATCAGAATCCCCGCACTTCCAAATGGTGGTGGGTGTGTGAAATAAATCTCATTTGATGAGCTTTAGTTCAAGCACTCCCACTGCCATTTTGAAGCGTGGGGACACTGATACATGAGACACGGGAGGCTACTAGGGTGCAGTAATTACTAGGGGTTTGTGAAACAGGCTCTATTTGATTCAGATTCAGTCTGAATCAAGGACAGTGTTTTGATTTGTTGATTTGGATCACTGTCCTTGACTCAGTTCGGCTGAATCTGAATCTGAAGACTTGATGAGGATTCAGAGAATCAGCAATTTGGTCGTAGACACAGCTTTAAATATTTTTTCTACATACCTCGAGGTACCAGGCATGGATCGTGAATGCTGTGATGCTGGGATGGATGGAGCATCCCATAGGAGTGCAGGGGGTCCCCTGCATGCTCAGCGGTTATCCCAGAAGTGGACCGGAAGTACTTTTCCCTATCTTATTCCATCAAAGTCCACTGGGGAGTGCACAGGCCCCACCCCCCCTTACCCCCCTGGCTAGGTGATCAGCCACGGGGGGATCCCAGGTGCCCCCCCAGACCCAGGAGGCACCAGTTGCTGAGTCAGAGGGGCATGGGGGGGCCCCCCAGCGTGCTCTACAGTGGACCCGTTAGTGGACCGGAAGTGTTTCTGGTCCACTTTTGGGTCTGCTGCTGAGTACGCTAGGGACACCCCTCCCCCTCCGCACTCCTGTGGAATGCTTCATCCATCCCAGCATGGCAGCATTCACAAGCTGCCTGGTACCTTGAGATATATAGAAAAAACATTTAAAGCTGGGTGTCCAAATCGCCAAATATTTCCAAATCTCTCCAATTCGATTCGGAGAGTTCTGATTCAATTCAGAGAGATTAAAGGATCTCGTCATTCAGTTCAGATTTGGAGATTCAGCCACCTAATCAGGCCAAATCTCTGCCAAATCTAATCAGTGACTGAAGCTTCGCACAGCCCTAGTAATTACCATGCTCTAGCAGACTTGATTAATTGATGCAATTACAGTGCATTGGAGCAGCCTCCCAGCATGTTT